TAATATTTTCACAGGAAACGAGTTAGAAATTGAGAAAGGAAAAATTATCCATCTTCACCTATAGTTATTAATACTTTTAAATGGTATATAATCTTCATCTAATACTTGTTTTGGTGGTTCATTTATCGCATATCTTGTCCAACCAGCTTGGAAAATCCATTTCTCTGGCACGGGAGGTAACTTTCGAATAGTAGTTGCTTCAACCAGAAGACGACGATATGGTTCAAACTGCTTGATTGCAGTATTTTGAAAATGATCGAGTAGATTCGAACCTTCCAGATGTGGCAAATCAAGCATTTCAAATGGATCATCTTTTAAGGTATTCTCCGGAATAGGACAACTACCAAATAAATGACGATGTAACCGTTCTGGCACCAAATCAATCTTTTTTAGGTTGAATGGAGCGTTTTTCTTTGAAGTTGACGGTTCTTCTGCTGAATTTACTTCTACTGTATACCATCGTTTTACGATAAATGACGAGGTTCTCCGCACAACTGACAAGTTATGCCGGATTGACATTCTCTGAAATCATCGATAAAATCATCTAACATGTCAATTCATTAACGTGCTGAATAATACTTTTACAATATCGCTCATCTTTCTCCCTTTCTAAACTCGTAACACAGAATTAATCAAGTTTAATATCTATGCTTTTACAAGAACTAACATGAAGCAACTGCTAATATTAGGGACATTACGACGCTACGCAATGAGAGTCATAATTCCAACTCTACACCATTAAATACGTATTTTTTGTCATGATTAAATATGATACATATGAGTTAGTATTATGTCTTGATACAAAATAGCACAAAAAAATTCTAATAATACACAGTTCAATCTCACATTTGAAAATAGTCTCGGGAAACCCAACGCAAACATAGTCTAACATACATATCATGTTTTTATTCAGTACGATGAATCAATCATAACCAACGAATAATATTTAAATAATTACTGAGCTATATAAAAGTGTAAAGTGAAAGACACATAGACATCAAAATCAAAAAATCAAACAAAGTTAAATATCTTAATTTGCACACTTTTTTTATAGTTCGAAATTCTTATTTATAAAAAGTTAAATGGAAATCTTTTAGCTATAGTTTCTCAAATAAATACAGGTAAAATTTTGAGGAAAAACACTAGAGATTATCGCGTTAATTCCAACAGTGCATTTTCTCGTGCAATAACAAGCTTATCGAACTGAATTATATAAGTGGTACCATCATGCCAATGTGCGCTAACTTTACATGGAAAGTTGCTTGCCTGAAAAAGAATTACTTCATGTTACTTTTCGGAGTAGAGAAGAACATCAACATCTCCAGGGTCAAAATATAAAATTCTGATACACTTTAAAATTCTAACCTCCAAAACTGCTTCAATGATACCAGCAATAAATGATGCACAGTTCAAATTTCCTTTATCTTTCGGAACGGATATGTAAGTATTCACAATAGGCTCTTTTTCAATCAATAAATCTAAATAACACTTCCATAAACTGAGCAAATAAAAATTTTGAAATGAAGTAATAATTTTGGTGCAAAATGAGCTTTATTTGTAGGAAACACAAGTTATCGAATCAATGTCAAAAATAGATATGCACAAAAGCTTCAGAAGAATAAAAAAATAGTATTTTTCATTTTCAATTTCAATCATTTGTATCTATTAATTCCAAAAACATATTTTATCTCCTTTATTGCTAATAATTCTCTCACTATTTCAACAAATTATAAACTAACAAAAATATACGCAAGCGCTTACATTGGCATGGATCGTCATTACTTCGTTCTAGTTTATCAGCTTCCTTGTTAAACAAATTCTTCCAGATAGTTCCCTTGACAAACATTAACATGTTCAATAATTTAGTTTCACGCCTGTAACCTTTCTCTCGCAATACGATGACATCTAATAATCGGCTTCCAACAAATTTCCCATAACCTAAAAGTCTGAAATTAATTTTCTTTTATGTTCAGTGAATAAATACGGTCCATGGTTCAAAATCAAAAATCTCAATTTCAAAAAGGCCCTTGCAAACTGATAACTTTTAATTAAATCCTTCCAACAAATGGTAAAAGTTAATTTTTTTCCACTCTATTTTATTCCCATAACTGTTTTATTTAATTATATTTAATTTATTTAATTACTGTTTTGCTTTTATTTAAAATTACTTATTTTTTTCCCTTCACTCTTATCGTCAAATGTGTGTGTCTCCAAAATATAGATACACAGAATATATACTCACCTAAGTGCTCTTTTTTCTTAGATTTTACTTTTTAATGCACTTTGCACTTTTTCTCCAAAAGCCAGTAAATAGGTAATAAAAACTATAAATCACAAGGATACTAACTTATCTTGCAGATCGCTAACTGTATTGGATCGATTATTCGCATATCGTATCATTTCCGCAAATAATAAGGCAAATGAAGAGAAATTTATCTTAAAGTGAAAACTTTCATTGTATACATACGAAAGAAATTGTCAGTCGTAATAATTTAAATTATATTTTTTAAAAACTTCTAATACCTCATGCTGTAATCCGTCTTTTGCAAGTATGACAACCTGATCTTTCATTTCCTAGTTTTTTTTTTTTTTCATGAATTTAACAGTCAGTTTGTTACTGTTAAATTCTGCCTTTTTAAACAAAATCCATCAAACAAAACCTCTGCTTTGCCTCTGCTCAACGATTTATCCAATATACTGCTTTGTTTTCCACTTCCCGCACGTTGCATTTTGGATATCTGCAAAAATAAACAAAATAGTCTGTTTACCGATGGATCGTTTTCACGCTGAAGATAGTAATTAATTGATATGATCTTTCATATAAGTTTCAAAAAGAAATTATAAAGCTCTTTCATGGTTACCTTTTTAGTACCTATTAGCAAAGCAGTTGTTTTAATGGTTAATTTCTATAAAACTGAATTTCTTTTCCTGCAGTAATAACCCACTGAAATATATGCTAATTATGAATTTTAATGAAAAATTTTAATGACACTACAAATAGGTTCATGTCGACATACAATTATATTCAGTAAACAATGATGCTAACTTCCTCGAGTCAGCAAATGCCAATATTCTCTTTAACATGATTTTATATTGCATTTCATTGCACTCAAATTTTAACTCGAACTAACACAACTATACTGTATTACAATTAATAAGTGAAGATATTGTAAAAAATTTAATTATAAATTATTGATAAATGATTTGATATATACGGTTAAATGTGCAAAATTTTTGAAGAATGGATTAATTAGCTCAAAACAACATAACTTACGAGTAATGATAAATCTTCTCTTTATGCTTAAATATAAAACCATTTTAAATGAAATTTCGATACCAAACTTGAAACCAATGACATTTGAATCCACTGACCAAAACATACGTTAATCCATTTTATACTAATGAAAATTATATACCAAAGAAAAGCTCCACAACAAGAAACGAATTTTCTTCGAAAATTACAAATTTTCATGCAATCTATATACATTCCAAAAGAAGGGTCATCTTACAACATTGAAATTCGAATTAAGCTTAGAATAAAAAACTATTGCTCATCGGTAGAATTCTCTCATTAACTGTGATTACTCCCGTCAATCTCTAATTTAATATCAAACTTTTATTCAGATAACCATAAACAAAACAATGAGTGCTGAACAAATAAAAAATCGGATTTCAAATATTTTAAAGAGCAAAAGAAATTCAGCGAAATCTTTTCTTTTTTTTACATTTTGACTCTCTCTAAATCAAATCTTTAATTGCTTTATAAATTTTATAACAGTGATCAACTAGCAACTCAATAATTCTTTTTTTCTTTCGTCCTAACAATTAGCAAAAAAATATTTAAAAATATCGAGAAAAAAATATAGACAGTTGAAAAATCTAAGAAAAGCATTGCAAAATTTTTTTCTTTTAACAAAAAACCGGAAAAATTCGGTTTCGAAAAAATCAATGTTATGATTTCTGTCTTTGTTCACAATATCTCCCTCCCCAATAATTTCTCTTTCACATCTGTTCTCTAATGATGAAAATCAACGATCAATCTATACATTATATATGTACATCAAACTTCATTGTTAATACCTTAATCACGATTTTATGGGTTCTTGTGGTCTTTCACTGCATCAACTCATCTCAAAGTTGCACAGCAAACATGGCTACATATGACTTCTTCCAAATTTAGGAAAAAAGCTTTCCTTAAACGAAGTGACTTAATTTCATTTAATCCATTTTCAACTAAACCGACTAGAAAAGTGAATATTTGTAAGCAAAGATGAGAAAAAACCACAGGGAATAAATTTGTTTTCCCACAGTCACTTTCAAGTATTACTTCTGGATATTTCAGATTCGAAATACATCGAATTCAGCCACCGAGTAAACTTCTGCTCGGAAACATTCTGTACGTTTTCCGACCAACCAAACATTTCTGCCTCTAAAAATATACAGAACAATTTATCCAGAAAGGTTACGTAACAAAGCACAATCGTACAAAAAAAAATTCAAAAGATTTTAAGCTTTTCAAATCCAAAAAGGAATGATAAACCTACCTTTGCAAATAAGAGGCTCCAAAATAAACGGTTTCGTAACATTTACTTTCTGACTCGTACTGAAATCAACAAAATAAAAATAAAAGCTAGATGTTACCATCATGCACATTTTTCATACACTTGGCTATCAGATGTTTTATAGTTCTACTATTCGAGTAATATTATTCAGAAAATACAAAATTAGATAAAATAAGGAGTGCAAAAAAAATGAGAAACGAAACAACCGATCTTGTTTCTATTTAAAATACATGCTACTGAACTACGTTATTATCATGCTTTAAATTCGTCGTGCATTATGAATTAAGAATAAGATTATTATCATGCCTCTAATCATTTCAAATTTATAACAACTAACCATTTATATCCATCGGTGTTATTAACAAGCAATGGCTGAGTGGGACTGGAAGATGAGTGATGCTGTAATTTATCAGCAGATGTGTCAGCTTTTCTTTCTTTCTGTTCATTTCGGGCTACGCTTTGATTCGACGCATGTGGATTCCTTGGCATTATCATTTGGTTTGCAATTCTTCAATAATTCATTGTACATTTTAGTATCAATAAAATTTCAAAAAAATTATGTGCATTAAAGTTTAAATTCCAAGCAAAAGAAAACAAACTTAAGTTCCAAAATTATGTTATTAAATGAAAGCCTGTAAAGTGGCATAACATATTAGAAAATAAGGTTAACAGATAAATTTCAAGTAAAAATAAAAATCAAAATGAAATAAACTCTTACATTCCGGATTTTTCATTAATGTTTTTCTGTCTATCCTCTGCTTGTCGATATGATGTTGATGTAGCTGATCGATTTCTCCTTATGTATGGGCAGTTTTTTTGATAGAAATCTGGAATACAGAAACCACCAGACGTTCGCTCAGGAATCAAATTATCATTCGGTAAAGGCAACTTCGGTGTTTTCTGCGGATAGCGTATGAAATTCGGACCACATTCTTTCGATTCTCTTCTTGACGGAATAATCATATCCTGATTGAATATTCGATCTAATTTTTCAGAAAGAGGATAAGTATTATGAGTTGAAACAAGTTGATCATGATACGATTCTGGTACATTTTTTATAGTGTTGTGAGTTGCCTCTATTTTTTTGGGTGAGAGAGAAGTTTGTCTAACTTTATTTGATATTTTCAAAAACGAGTAATTTTGATAGGCTTCTGATATTCTTGGCGCTAATTGTTGCGATGCTTGCATCAGAGAACCTTGTCCACAAAGCGATGAAGGGATTGAAGCATCACAGAATAATTCTGCATCACTGTCGTTATCAATTAGACTTAGGTCAACCAGCACCTCATCTTTTTCATTGCTAGGTAAAATCTTGTTGAGATTACTATTAATCACAACATTAGAAAATCCTATGTCATCTGTAGAAGACCGAAAACTTAAAGATTTCTGACTTTTGGTTACACCAAAATTTGATTTTTGTCCTTCGTCACGATGTAGTGGGATTTCCCGGTAAGGTCGGTGTGCTGAAAAGGATGTGAATTGGGATGTCGAAAACAACTGTTGGTCGGTGACCCTATCAACTGGAGCGTAGTGCTTATCGAGTGTGGAAGCGTCAGAAACATGAGGATTGCACGAGAAGAAACTCGTTTCGCAACTGTCCGCATTCGGCAGGAAGGGTTGGTTATCTAACCATTTTTTGATATGATAATGAAATCCGATTTGATTAGTCATACTTCCTAATTCGCTATCTTTATCAATTATTGTGTTACATGCGGACTTTGTTTTTTTCTCTAAGACGGTAGCAGCCGATTTGGCGCGTCCGGTACTATAAGCCGAAGCTGTTTCTTTCATCATATTTGATTTTAATGTTATCTTTTTTGGCAACGGTAGCGAAATCGACTGTATTGCGATACTGTCAACAGAACTATAACCCGCTTCGTCAATGGATGATCGTAAATATGGCCACTGCTGTGATGTCCGTTCCAAAAAATCGCTGAAATAATAGAATTCCAATCACTGGAATATTTCTAATTACGAATTCCTGGAAGTGCAAAATTCTCATACATGATAAAAATGGTATCTTTTTTATCTGTTGAAAATACTCACTCTTCAACTGTTGGTAATAACTCTTTATTCGGTATATGTCGTTCAGCAAATTTGCATGCGGGAAAAACATGTTTTTTGCAAAGTTTAAGAAAGCTGAATCTGCAAATGGGAAAAATTGAAATAATACATCCGTTCCAAACAATCAATGAGTCAGTGAATATTTCTATGGGAAATAAAATTTCCGACCTGTTAATTTAAAAAATGGAGATAAAGTATGAGGAAGTGTAATGCAACAGTAAATAGCATAGAATTCAATGATATATTTATGAACCATAATTTAAAACCTAAGAACCTCCATTAAAGGACAAACTTACACAGCTTTGTGAGCAATGAAAAGAGAACAATTCCTAGCTTGATACTGTTTGGTATATTTTAAACCATCATGAAAATCACACATCATCAAATCATCACGGCACCATGATTTATTCATTTCTATAGCAACATCAGATTTAATGCTATTATTTATACAAACATCGTGCACTATTGCATAGATAACCATGAAATAATCCTCCAAGATTGCAAAACGTGTTTCAATACGAGCTGAAATTGAATTATAGAAACACTAAGTCCTACAATATGTAGAGTCTATCTCCATTAATATGATGTCAAATCAGAAAGTGTTCGATCAAAAATTTTTGTCCAATACAATTATCAGTAAAACAGCAAATTGTGAATTGCATGATCAAGTGGTCAATAAATTAGTTTCATTTCCACTGGATTTCTCAATAAACGCTTATGAAATAAGTCAAAATGAACGAATTCCGCTTTTCCTTTCTATTATTAATTGGCCAATGCTCTATAGTGTACCGTTGTAGATAGATAAAAAAGTAAATGTAATGTACTAAATATACACGGCAACAGACTAAAAAAAAATATACGCCCCTGTTTCAAAAATGAAGGAAAACACTAACGACCTACAAAAAGATTTTTCATTCGCGTGCATAAAAAGGGCATCAAAAGATCCGACGACTACATTCCAGTCTTTGGAAAGCAACAAAAGCTTCACACTATCACCAGCTATCTTCGTAAATTCTTTTATTTCGTCCCAAATTTGAACATAATCAAATCGAGCATTTCCAGTCATTTTGCTGCAATCCATCAGCAATCCAGTTGTTTGCTCTACAATTATAACCAAATAAGCATCTACCTTTAGATCATCAGCAAAAGTTTACTCTGATGATATTGAACGACATACCATTTTCTTCAGCCTCTACTTCAGAATTTTTGCACAGTATTCCATTTTCCGCAAAACCTAAGACATAGTGACGGTGGTCATAAATTCCGCGTCTGATGCTAAATTTCAATATTGAAATTTCAGATGGTATCAACCGCTCATTTGAGCTGTCTTCATAATAAACATTGGCCGTCACAAATATAATCTCAGATTCATAGAAAAACTTCTTCTTACTTTCCAGGTCTGTAATATGGAAATGTTATTTTAAACATAACTCAAACTTATAGCGAATTCTTGCAAAGAAATCAAATAAAACAGATGAACAAACTCTTAAAATATATTTCAGTATGCTTTAACGTTATTAAACCACCGATTTACATATTTTAAAATGGATTATTTGCAAAAAAAAAGAACCTTTTTGCGCAAATTTCCACTGGTAACGATCGATGAACTCTTTTCGATCATTTTCACGTTTTTCTTCAAAATCGTCATCAATTCCAGAAAAATACTAAAAAACTGTAGCAAACTATAGAAAAAAGGAAACCTGTGTTGAAAAAAAAAATTCCAGAACTCTTGAAAGACCAAATTATGAGGCATCATTTTCGACAATTAAAGAAATGAAGCAGAAAAAATCCGAAACAGTAATTAATGACGATATATATTATGAATGATATTATAACGAATAGAAATCCTGGATTCATACTCCGAATTGGGCCAGCCAATGATAGAAAAAGACTGTCATATCTAAGCTTCATAGGCATACTTTACGCGAATACTGATCAACTTCATCGTAGCGGCGTGATGGCGGTATAATTTTAGATGGCTTCAATTTTCGAGATATATAAGGCTGTGCGAAATTCTTTTGCTTAAAAAAAAATTTATATATATAAAAGTTGACTTCATTTAAAATAATCTTTGACATTTCAATACCCATATAGAGCTCGGATATAGGAACAAGAACTTAATGAATATTTACGCTATATACTACACATGTTGAATAGACAACATTCCTTCTAAACTAAAATTTTGGAAGCTAAACTACTATCTACGTCAAGTTATAATAAGAGAAATGGTGAAGCAAGAGGATATAACACAATGTAAAACACGACAGCAATTTGCTATTTGAATAAAGTGTCCGCTGTATCATGTCACAATGGTCGAATTAGCAATCTTAAACTGCTCTAAGATGAATACCTCATCAACATGCTGCTTTCTTTGATGATATTCAAGCCGTCTTAATATTCTTTGATTTCTTCCTGTCTTCGACTTGTTATATTCCTTCGCTCTTTCCTTCCATTCTTCCTTTTCTTCAAAACTCAATTCCTACATAAGCAATATCTATTATCATTTGTAGCTTATCTTCAATATTACCATACATATAATTAAAGAAAAACTATGATAATAAGTCGTAATACACAACAAAATAATTCATGATATAAAATTCCAGCATTTCCAGCAACATTATTAATGATAATCTTTGAGGAATGAAACATACATCCCAGCGAGGTAGTCCAAACTGTAGCACATCAACCGTCCTCAATCGTTTACCTAATTTTTGTTCCATTTTCGGCTTAATGGAGTATTCCATGTACATCCAGAAACCAGTCTGTCTATCGTTTGTTCCTTTTCCCATTGTGTTTTTTTGTTGTTTGTCAGCTAGAATTAATTTTTTTTTTTGTCAAACAGACAAGAACGGAGAAAATTTTTACAATAACAAATTAAAATCATCTACATCTATACATCAATCACTGAAATGCAAACAGGAAATATTCCAGGCTTCCAAGCAAATAAAATTTAAATTCGATCCAAATTTGCATAAACAAATTGTTTATATTTTACTTGCTATTTTTACATATTTCTAAAATTGGTACCTTAATATTTATGGGAATCAAAAATTGATGATTTTGACTGAAACGATGAATGATAAGAAGAGATGGTGGAGCCCACATAAATGACAAACTACTAAACCAGAACGGCGTCCAATGAGTAAACCGGGAAGAAGCAATGTCCAACGAGTAAACCGGAAAGAAACGAAACCGAACTTACCGAAGCAATAACATGGCCCTGTTACAAAATGAGATTACGAAATGCAAAATAGCACTTCGCATTGATTTGCTTGATCCCGGTTGGTAGCCCGGATTGATGTTAATGGGTTTCAAAAGAGCTTGGCTCTTATGTTAATGTAATGTTTGAGGCTTTCAGAAGAAATAATAGGCCATATTTGATAGTTGGGCTGTCAGGTTAGACCAATGAAAGTTAGACCAGTGAATGATGTGTTTAATGATTTAGTATATAGATTCAATGGATTGTTTGTTACAGTGTGTGAAGTAATTTTTTTGAAAATGTAACAGTGAAGAAAAAATTTTAACATTAGCTTGAAATTTATTTATCTTAGGCATAAAAATTTGTTGTCATATATTCAACGTGAGATGTATCCATTTTTCACCCATAATTTTACATTAAAAGCAATTTTTTTAATCAATTAATATGTTGTTTCTAGCTTTTTAGATTTAGATTGATGAATAATTTGAATTTTCTCCGTGAAGAACCACCATTAAATTGGCTTGATTATTTTGTCGATCGGAAGGAATTCGAAAAACTTTTGGATTTTGAGAGATCAGGTAAGAGTTTGATTAATTTTTTTATGTCTTTTTATGAGAGGAAAATGTGTCAAATGTCAGGCAGTAAAAGATAACACCGCAAAGTTTGAGATAATCAAAATTTTGCTGTGGTATTTAAGGAACTATAAATTTACTAGCATTTTATTCAGTTGTTGATCATACTTGTTTTTATGCTCAGAAAATAGCATTTATATGCATTTCTGTTAAAAATAATTATACATTTTTCAAGTACATAGAATGCATTCATTTTTTTAATGCTATTCCACATAAAGGTAATTCTATATAGATTGTATTTCTTTTTGTTGGAATTCTACGGAGAAAGCATTTGTCTTCCATTGTCATATATAAATTATTTCTACTAGAATTCTCTTTGATCATTTAGAGTTTTTTTTATCCATTTTCTGGTTAAGTTATCTGTGGTTCTGAAGTAATTTCCGGATTTTCATTCAGAAATTTATCCCATTGGATGTTTTAAGCGACCCGATGTCTTCCACTCTAAATTGGTAAAAAATATGCATGAGATTCGGCGTTTTTGATGGTTATTTTAATCAAAGGAAGATAGCACATTTATGAAAAAGAAACATTGCTTTTAAAAATAAGATAAAATTTTTTTGAGATCCTGCACAGTTGTCTGCATTGGGAAATCAATTCACAGAGCAAGCTTTGTTAAGTGATAAAGAATGTGATATGTTAATACGAAAAGAATATGATGAAGGTTTATGTTTTGGATTGCATTTTTTATAAACATTGTTATAAAACGTTATTCGGATTAATAAATTTATGTATGACAAGAAATCTCAAGGATCATCAGACTGTTAGATATTTTGTGGATGTGAAGTTGATTTTGATTGGGAAGTTGGAGTGGATGTTGTATCTGAGCTTATCAAAACTTCAGTTAAGTAGTGAGAGAAAAACATTCGTATAGAATGAGGTTAATCATGAGTAACTCTTTCAGAAGATTTAGCGTATAATAGATGTAAATCAGCTCAATTATGGTTTTGTGCTTTATCATGTTTCGCATCAATCAATTGGAATCTCGACCTTATGAAGCAGTCGTATGTTTGTTATGGAACTGTGGTTTTTTTTTGTGAAGTACTTGTAACTTGTAATTTTATCGGAAGTGTATAAAGTGCATATGTGTTCAAAATTCAAATCGATTCATAATTTTATAAATATAGATCATTAATTTATGTAATTTTTTAAGTGAAATTAAAAGGCTACTGTTTTGGTTTTTTCTTGTGGAAGAGAATTGTGATAATAGTAGAAATTAGAGGGGAAAAGAGTGAAGCAATATTTTGGATACGAATTATTTCTTTTTTTCAAGTGTACTGAATATGTTGCTCCTTGTTGGTTATTTATAGAATTATCATTCCTAAACAAACAATTTGACTCAATTCTTTTAACTAAAAGTATTTCCTTTCTAGCTGTAACATCATGTCCATGAAGGCTCTTATGAATCGACTTGTGGCATTTTGTTATCCAGCAAAAACTATAGTACGTTCATCATTATTTTTGATTGTATAATAATTTTTATTGTACTATTATTGGAAAACTATTTCTTCCAATTTCTATCTTCGTCTTTGAGCAGTAAGAATTTTCATCAACTTCTCGATTTTAAGAGTTCGGGCGAAGACGTATTATTGATACTGGCGGAACTTTATGCAGAATCAAAAATTGAAGTTGCGAAGCCGGAACAACATTTCGCCTGTTGGCTATATGCCACATGGTTGCTTAAAGTAGATGTTGATGGACGTTTTCCTGAAACTGTTGCAAAACCGACTGTCAGCAATCCGTAAGCGCTGTTCATGTTTTTAACTGATACTTGGATAATTAATACAGATGCATTGTTATAGATGTTTCATACTATTTGCATAACTGAAGTTAGCATCGTTATTTTTGATTTAAGGCCTAATATAAGCCAACGCATGTAATCTTATCGATATCCAAATAGTGCTGATGTGTACAGTATTTCAAAACATTCTTAATAATTAACGAAATTATTGGGCTAGGAAATTGAATATGTTTTTTTAAGGCTGAACCAATTTGATGCAAATCTTATGCAGGCGGAACAATTCAAAATCTGTACTGCTGAGGTTGGTATTTATTTAACAATGTAGAGGGTAATGTATAAACTAGTTAAAAATCATAAATGTTTCATATCTATTCCATTATATTTATTTTTACTTCTATTGTCATTATTGATAACGCATTAGAAAATTAATCGATTCCGAAAATTAATCGATTTGTTTTACAGTTACGAAGAAGCGTCGAGGATGCAGAAAAGCTTATGAAAAGAATGTTAGAAAATAGTCGTAAAGTGCATATTAGTGTACCTACAAAAGATTGTTTCTTGGAAGCTTTGTCAAAGGTTTCAGGCTTTTTCGAAATTCTTTTAACAAAGCAACAAATTTTGTAAATTTTTATGCTTAACTAAAAAATATTTCTGCAGCAGAAATTGGAACAAGTTTGTACACTTAGTTATAACATTTGAAGCTAATATGATACTTAAAAGTCATAAATGCATATATATTGTTTAGTAATATTTGGCTTTATTGAGTTATTTGAAAGTGTGCTAATTTTAGTTCCATACTCGTAATGGAATAATAATTCGTGCTTTATTTGCAAAATATTTTCTTACTTCAGGCTCCAAATTTAACTACTGACAGTGTTTTAAATTTGGGAAACATAAACACGGCCTCGGTTCCGGTTCTTAATTTTCAAGCATCAAATATGCAGTTGGATTATAATTTTTGGACGATAACGGTAAAAAATATTTATTACTTTCTGAACCTTCTTTTTTCTTTGCAGTGAGAGTAATACAATCGCCTTCATATGTATTTTCAGATTCTGTATTCATTGATGTGCAATCATTTTGCTGCTGGTAAAATACAAGAAACAAGAAACGACTTAGAAAAGGTATTGAGAATAGTTTTAGAAGAGCGAAATGATAATGAATTGAAGGCAGGTATAAAAACTACAGAAAAGGAAGTGCATGTACGACGTGATAGTATGATAGTGCAAACTAATGACATAATTTGCAGATTGTAAAAAATTGGTCCAAATATAAGAAAAATTTAATGGAAAATGTTGTGGTTAGCATAAATGAAGATGATTTGGCTGGTTACTGTGATGCCTTAGGCATCAAACATTGTTTTTCTACTCCTTACTCTGAAAGCAAATTAATGTTTGAGACAGTCAATGAAAAGGTTTTGTTTCTATTTTAGATAAATTTCAATTTATTATACGGAATTGAAAGCAATTGGTTTTTCAATTTTATTTTAAGTATTTGATTTTTAATTATGTGAACTTTAAAAATAGTTCTTTTATTTAGACGCTAGATATTTTGGATAATTGTTCATTGATACATCGCTTGGAATGCCAAAGAATTGCTTGTACATCAGAGTCGGCCCTCGTAAGTGATATTTTAGCGGAAAATATTGTTTCGGAATATTACAACGACTTTCCGGCTACTTCAAGCACATTAATGAAATTGGCAGCAAATAAATCAATTGTTTCTCGTTTGATTACGGTATCTTTTCTTCTGTAGATTTAAAAGCAGTTTGTAATAATCAGTGTATAAATTTACTTCCTGCACGCAAACTTTTTTTTTATATATATGTGAATCCTAACTATTTCTGCTAGAAAAGAAATGACAAAAAAAAAATTTAGTTTAAAAATTTTGCCATTAGTATGTTCTGACATTTGCATTGCTTGAAATTAGTATTCAGCGATAAATTCAACAGGTTTGCTTGCGTTTCGTGAAGAAAAGAGCAAAAGTACAAGTAATGAAGGAAGTGATGCAATTTTTATCCATCAAAATACCAGATTTTGTCGAAGAATTTAAAAATGTGAGTAAAAATCTACACGTTATTTTCAAGTTGTGCTAAGTAGTTTTTTCTCATCGTTGTTTTTGTTCCTTCGGCATAGAGAAATAAAACTAATTTAATTACTTGGTAATTCGTTAAGGCGAATCTCGATTGTAGCAAAGAATACATTGGAAATTTCAAAGATATTTTGCGACGGCCAGTACCTCCTTTACCAAAAGTTGCTGCCATTAAGGGTACATATTTTCTTGTTGTACTGAATAATTTTTTCAAGGCTGGTGAAAGCCATTTTTAATCTACATATTTATTTTTTCTCATGAAAGAGCATCTTTGCCGATTTTTCAGTCTCGCAATAAAACCTAAAAATGGATACCAATATTAATTATTTTAAGAGTTTTTAAATGGTGGCACGGATTTTTGGCGCTTGATTGTTTCATTTGATATGAACGAAATTAAATCGTTATTTGCCAAAATGACTGGCAAAATAATTGTTCCACGTCGTGTAAGTGTTCATTTATATATTTAATTTTTTTTTTCTTTTTCTTGCTTTGGAAAAGCAAGAAAGAAAGTTTCTAAAGTGTAAAAACTTTTTTTTTAGTTTCGAATTAGCAGAATGATTGGTGATGTTATGTCAGCAGCCGCTTCACAAGGAAATTTTGAGCACATTAATCTGATGTTAGGCAAATTGGAACAATTAGCAATTATTGGGGTATGTTGTATTTTCTGCTTTTTCGAGGTGAACAATTTTAAAAAATTTCAGTAAAATTTACTTGCAGATGGACTTAACAGACTTAGAATTTAAAAAAATTTTAAGGATGGAACTCAGTGGCGCACATTTTGCAATGAATGTGTGAAAGAAATGGGGCCATTAGGAAGAATTCAGGAAATACAAGTGCGATTTGCTTTTGATGCTGTTCGCGTTCAGGTGTTTTTATTACTTGATTTTTTCAAAAGAGATATTAGATGATTTTTTTTCGAGACTTGAAATAAATTGAATGGAAACAGAAGCGAGAGTTTTGATTAAACTTTGGACTTTAGAAATTATTCAGAGTTGAATTTAGAGCCGGAATATAATCTGAAAATTCGTTGCTGAAGTTAGTTGCACGTGATGCATTTATTATTATAATTAAAGAAATATGCTTGCTGATTTTATGGTTTAAATGTCTTACTGATGGAATGTAATATCATCGGTAGATTGATGGCATTGTTAATGAGTTGTCACTATAGCGTCATATCGTGCAGTTCGTAAACAAATCTTATTACTGATTCTCTAATTCAGTTGGAATGTTGGCATGCACGATTTTCAAGAGTATCTAACAATGCTCAGTTTGTCCACGTTACTCAAGCATTGAATTCGACAGTGAAAGCATTGATACAATCATCTATGACAAGTCCTGCGACAATGGGAAAGATGATGCTCCATACAGTCACATTCTTCATTAATACTAGCGAATGGGATTTTCTCTTGCGCTCTTTTGTAAAGTAAGTGTCTCTAATCAGTCAATTTGTATTTATTCATTTTTAATAATTTTGATTAGGACTATAAGTTAAATTATTCTGCAATTATAATGCAAGCATTAGCAGATTTTTGTCTTACATTTGATTCCTTTGCAAGTTCTTAAAATTCAAAATTTTTTTCCCCTTTCTCTTTACTAACTAATATAATTTATTTACCTATTGCTTCTTCATTTGCAGATTGAAAAGTCCATTCTTAGATGCGGCAAAAATGATTGCTGCTTATATGACTAGTAGTGACCCGGCAGTTGCTCGGCAAATTGTTGAAGGTCCATGGTGGCAGGTTATGAATTCAACCTTCCAAGAGATTCCATCGAACAGGCATGCGATTTTTACAAGCAAAATTTATTCCTTTTCAGGAATAGTGATTTTTCTGAATTCATTTTTATTTGTATTATAAGATATAACTTTTTTCCAATAAGATAATGTATTGCAGTAAAAGGCGAAATGATGGATCATTGGTTCGTGAGCAAACGAAACAACTTCTGACAAGAACGCAATTTCTAGATATGTTACGACTCATCAAAGTACTGGTTGATTGATGTTACATACTTCAGTCCAACATTGAATTTAAATAAACGGAGTAAAAATGAAAGAAAATATTTTAAGTACATTGCTGTTTTTCTTGTTTCCAATTACAGTAAATATTGCAGGAATATCGAACTATATCCTTCCTGATTAGCTTTCTTGGTAAAATGTTTAGCGCAGCTGGAAATTTGCCGAAAATGAGGAAGGAATGTGATGGATTATTATCAGGACAGGATATTAACAAAGATATATTTGTTGAGCATCCCGATTATTGGCAATCTAGCTTCGAGTAAGTAATATTTATTGATAATAGTGAGGAATTACAATTGATCTTTAAGTCTTTCTGTAAGTGATTTTTTAGTAGCATGAAACTGTATATTTTGACATTTCATTGAATTTGATTTCAACTGGTAGCATGCCATCAAGATTCACTGCAAATATTAGAAAGCCTTTTTGCTATCTTGGAACTCTTGCGAGAAATATCTAGTATTTTGTTTATTATAACTAGCAATTAATTCATTATTCTCAAATAATGCCAAATCCAGTAAGTATCAAAACTGAAGTAAAGATAAAAAAATCAAGTCGAAAAAAAACGGTAAGTTAAAGTCTTTGAGCGTTTGTACTGTTTTCATGTTTTTATAACTACACTATTGTTAGGACACGTTCTGAAATTCTTGATATATTGTTTTTAGTAATTCTAGCTTTTATCCTTCTGACTTCTTCAGAAAGAAAGGGACCGATGATGACCTCTCTTTCAATCTGCCTTTTTTAACTGAATGTCTCAATGTGGTATTTAAGAATGCGCTAACTGTCAATCCAATAAATGCGTTCTGGTTACGATCCTACGCCGATTTTTGTTACGGTAAGATTATTGAATTTTTTTCTCGATGTAAATTTATTTTAATTATTCCATTTGCAATTTCTTCACGTGAATAACTTCAGCTTGCGATAAATTTGTCGATGCCTTAGTTCTTTATATGGAAGCATGTGTGGCTTGCAGTGATTCTCTGATGAGACCTCTTCCTGATAATGTTGTTGATGATCTAGTAAGTTGTCTTTTATGGATTTATTGCCCACTAAAATTATGTTAGGGTGGATAGCAAATTATGAAACCTCAGAAATTAATTGTTATTCATTAGACTGAAATGTGAATAGCTTATTATTATAGTAAGTAGAGGAATGTAATTATGCTATATTTGGGAACATTACCTCAGGATTAACATAATTTCTTTACAGTACAGATTATGAGATCCTTTTTATTGAAAATAAGAAGGAAAATATTACAGCAATTGATAAGCTAATAGAAGATGAAAGGATTGTGTAAGTTATGTTAATTTCTTCAGGATGAATTTTTGTTCTCTGTGAAACATAATTTTTAAAATTCTTTTTAGATGTGGCTCAAAGTGCAGCGATGTTTGCGAATGAGTGGTGCTGAAACGCTGAGTGCCTTGGTCTGTCAACTCATGCGTAATCCTATCGAGCGTTATGTTCCAACAGCATCATCTCTAATGGAAACGCACGGTGACACACTTGATGCTTGTACGGCCTATTTTCCACTTATTAGCGATATCAATTTGGCTGAATTCATGAGTGGTTAGTACCTTCTGTTATTATACCATTATCAACTATCATTGTCTTAAAATGAATAGTTAATTGTTTTACTTGAAGGTTTAGACTGCTTATTGTTAAATATGTGGTTTTATTCTTGAATTGGTGCTTTATGGTTTCGGTGCATACAAAAAATTGTCTTAAGATTTCACAAAATTAATGCAGTCAAGGATGTCATTCAATTAGGAGATTTAAACTCGGTTGAACACGTTGTTCGATTCTTAAAATTAATGAATAGCTTTTTGCAAATTTACAAAGATAAACGATCAGAACTTTCACTAGTGGAATGATTAAATTACTAAGGCCAATGATTGGATGACGTCATGTACGTAAACTAAAAGGCTAGCAGGTTTAGATAGTTGGCAACGGTTGGGTTATTGTTAGTCGGTATAGGCAGCGGGATGAAATTAGTTTTTAGTGACTTTGGAGCATAGAAATATGTAAGAATGATTTTATTTTCTGGCTGGAAATTAAAAATTGATACATGCATTGTAGCTCTGTTTCCTATTTGTTTCAGATGTCTACGAAAAGCTTCACCTTCACAAAAAAGAACAGCTACTGGTATGTTATTCCAATTTCGCCATGTATCTGTCATTCGAGATATGACATAAAGTATTTTTAAAAGAAAAAATTTTACTGCCTTTCAGCTCTAAATTTTAAGGAATGGTTTGATTGTTGTTACAGGAGTTGATATTGCTTCTTTTTTTCCAATTACCAATTTTGTATTTTTTCAGTTACGGGCAATTTCAGTTCCAGAGATAAATTCTCACAATATGAGCCAACTTGAAAGGTTTCGGAGACGTGAACGGTTTTTACTTGTTCTTTGCGCGCATGTATTTAGGATACACTTTTGATTTTATGATGGGTATTTATATAGATAGGTTGCTGTAGATGAAAAATGCTCGAAATTTTTTTCTAGAAAAAGATTGGAAATCAACAAGAAGATATTTTGAAAACGTGTTCAGAATTACTGCAAAATAATATTTGAGCGTAGGATATATTTGAGAATAATTCTATTTTCAAGATGCTTTCATTCATGTTGTGGTATAGCTAGTAACAGAATTAATTGAAATTTAGAGCAGAACGGTCGAAAAAAAAAATTGTACTTATTCTTTCACAACTTAGATTTTGAACAAAAAATTAATTTGCTTAATAAATTTATTATGTTGTAGCACATTTTGAAGTATTTTGTTTATTTCATTTAAGTTATCATTTTTTGAAAGTATAGTATTTAAAGATATGTGTTTCGTCGAATAGAAAGTACATAAGTCTATTCAGTTTCCTTTTTCATGTCTTAGTGGAAACTGGTCTTCCACTGAAAAAAGTTGACAAAAATAAGAGAAAGTTTTATCACAATATGCTAACTGCATTGACGGGATAATACCGAAGAATGGTATGATGTTTCAAAAAATTTTAGATTCGGAGTAGTTGCAGAATGTTAAACCAGTAAAAAGCCGGTAAGTTCAGTGTGCTTGAATGAAAAGATTGGGAGGTGAAGACCATTTGCTGTAAATTGTGAGAATGCTGTCTTTTGTAGTTTAGTCAGAAATTTTCAAAATCATTATTTTAAACGTAATTTTATCTGTGTTACAAAATGTTTTTTTTAAACGAAAGTAATAGAAATACAAATGTAGTAGAAAAAAGTAAATAAATTCGGCAGAATTAAATCCTCATTTATCGAATGATTGCGAGGATTGATTATATTTAGCTTAGTTGACTGTTATTAATCGAAACAATGTTATCAGTTTTTTACACCTGAACAGTGATTCAGCATTATTTCCTAAAGATTACATCCATCCATCCCTGTAATTCATTTTAATCGGCCAACGTAAGCAATACTCTTGATATTGTCCTCCAAACTTTCGAGTATGTATCTTTTCATATGATGATGGTATTGTTTAAAGCGTTAGTTGTATTCGTTTCATTGCAACACGGCCAAATTAATTAACCTTCGAAGGATTAGTAGCTAAATACAATTTAAAATAAATTCAAAAAATCAAATAGAAAAAAGGAAAGATAAATGAAGAAACTCGTCATTACAAAGTGACATTTTTTCTTTTCTGTAGATTAAATTTCTATAGAACATTAATGAATGATATAAAACTTTGAACCTGAAAAAACATAGGTTGGAAATGATGCTATATCTTTTCTAATTTTCGTTGCCAAAATTATTCCTATCATATATTTATTATTTTATAATCGGCACAAATAACTTCATATTCACTATATTTTGATGAAATTCAAAAATTTCAAATTCAGTACAAAAAATTCATTGATATTTAAATATTTCGTTTACGAAATTTATTTTGTCGAATAGATTTAAATATCATTTTTTCATCTTCAATTCTTACAATCGTTTTCATAATAAATATTTCATAAATTCCACTAAAATTTGTGATAAATGACGTTGCCTAAGCTTAGAAAATCCTTTTTGCTCAAAAAGACTTTCTAAACTTAATTTTGATTTAGTGCAGGATGGAAAAATGATATATTACAATAAATCCTTTGGAGAAAGAATTTTACCATTTAACTAATTAATGCAATCACACTAATTGGCAAGGCACATTTTCGGATTGTTCCCGAGCAATTTGTATGTATTGGGAAATTGTTGGTGAACAAATGATATGTACCACATTGAATTCCATTTTGGCGATATAAATTCGACTAATTTCATCTTTGTCTGAACAACCGATAACTGGTGCTAAAATATAAAAATTAAAAATTTCTCTGGAAATTAACACCTTTCATTGAATTTTAACAGCTTAACAAATGCGGAAGTATTCTTCTGCATCATGAAAATTTTTTAACAATTTACAATTTTTTTTTTTAATCTTTATAAAATTAAATATTTCAAAAAAAATAAAAATTTTTGCCTTTCAAAATGCTCTGATTATTTCTTCTTTCGACAATTTGATGATAATGCAATGGCCTTCGTAATATTTTATCGATCAGTATGTGGTCGTTTCCATTATTTTGATGACCTTCAAATACTGAAAGAAAACGTAATTTTTTTTTTTGTTATTGAATTTTAACTTTTCCTTCTTTTGATTAACAAAAATTGAAATTGAAATTTTTCTTTGAATTTTTGATTCTTTTATATAAAAAATATAGTAATATTAAGAGTACAATCAATTAGCAATCAAAATTTTTCATTTATCAAAGATATTTTTGATTTGCATTTTTATTTTCATTTCATATTTTCTTTTTAGTCAAGCAAAAAAAAAAAAGGAATAAATAATGAAAATATTTTTTAATCAACAAACCAAAATCAGCATAGCTACAAAATGCATTCATAATATCGATGCTTGAGCAAATGTCACATGATGTTTTTTCATTAGCAATCAATGATTCCGGTAAAATTTCATATCGAAAACCAGCAGTTCGTTGCTTCCAAATTCGAATCTTATAGGTTTCAATGAAAAGTAATATATCTATTTCAATATTCATACATTTTTGAAATTCTTTCGCTGCATTTAATAAACGATGATTGCTTCCATCTGTAAGTTGCATGTTTATTTTATCAAAAAAAGTTATAGATTTTTAAAATTGTTAAAATCTTCCGAAATTTTGTAATTTTTACATTTTATTTAAAAAAAAAAAAAAAAGAACATATTTCATGAATGTACATACTCGATATGTAATATAGTACTTTATAGGCTGGCATAAAACGAATTCGAAGACAAATTCTTTTTTCATTTGTATCTTTCATTAAGAATCGAACATGCATTCCACCAATTGGATCATTCCATTGAAAATAGCCACTGCTACATGATAAATTTACCTTTTGAATGATTTTATCATCAATTCCACCACTAAAAATTAATCAATATTACATTATTAATTAATCAATTAATTTCAATGATCAATCATAGCAATAGAATTGTTGAGATTGTTCAGTGATTCAGTGTAATATACTTATTGATGATCTTGTTGATAATTTGAATTGTTTTTGAATTAGTTTAATATTTTTATCATATGTTGTAATGGAATATAATGCTAAAAAAACTTTGTTTTTCACTACTCGGATAATTAATAACTTTATGATTAAGATTACTTATTCAATTAATCCAATGGTATTACCAGTGATAATTTGAATTTTTTACATTTAATGATTAGCATAAGGTAAATTTGCATTTTTTTTTTAATCATTTTAATAATTCCACTATTTCATTTCGATCTATTTAAAACATATCTTCCTTGTACTATATATCTACTAATTCATAACATGTAATTTAAATACCAATTATTTAAAATGCAATAACTTCTTTCATTTTTTTTTTCATACTTCAAAAATTTATTAATATATTGCTAAATGCGTAATAGTAAGTGATGCATGCTTATCATCTTCATCATTTGATGAAATTTCTACAAACAAAATTATAATCATTCATTAAAAAGGGGAATGGTAAAATGATGATGAGAAAGGCTATAATGCAAAAGGGCAAATAGACATTTTGAATGGTTAACGGTTGATGATTACAGTGTAAAGTCAATTGAGCGTATAATACAAATGGGTTTGATTAATGGATAGAAAAGCTTTGTGAGCCAAAAGTATATAGCATCTTCCAATCGTTCAATTCAAATCAAAATTTAAATTTCAATTGATATTTTATAAAAGAAAAAGAAAAAAAAAGAGCGCGGCATAAAAAATAAAATTTTTACAAAAAAAAGATATAATATATTATCGGATGATTTTGATAATTGATTACCATTCATCCCAAACATTCATCTCTTTTTTTTTTTAATCTTGAATTTCTCTTATTACAACAATTATGTGCAATAGCGCGTGTAGTCGTTTCAGTGTTTCAAAAAAAAAAGAACGATTTTTTTTTTTCAAATAAAAATGAGACAAGAAAAATCAACGATGAAAAATTATTATATGTTCATTTCAATTGAATGTTTTAAAAAAATTATTGGTAATTAACTTTTAAAGTATAATTAATTCAACAATCTTTACATTTATTTCATTTCATGATGCATTGGTTTGATGATATTAAACGAACAGAATAATGTCTATGAAATATTCCCGAGGTGGACAAAAGAAGGAAAAGAAATTGTAAAATTTTATTTTTGATTTTTAATTGCAATGATTAATTAGCGTGCTGTCATAGTTATAGTTTAATCAATTTTATTTTTTATTTTAATTAATCAACTGCTTCTTCTTTGCTTGCATCATAATTCATTTTATATTGTCCATTCTTAAATAGTAAAAAACTATTATAATCTTAAATTATAATTATTTTTTGCCAGATTATCAGAGTCCAAAGCAAAATTTGTAAAATATTATGCGAAATGATTAAATTTCATATTTTTAAGTAGCAAAAAAATTTTTCAATTTTAATTTTTTAATTTTTAATTCTTTTTCAAAATTTTAAAATGAACTCATCAAAATGTGAAGTAATAATTTAATATTTTACTGCCACTTTTTTTGGGCATTTTTCTGTAACAAAATGTCACATGTCAATTAAAAAGGTCATGAGATTCCCACACATTTGTTCACTGCTTACTCATTCAACTTATTTCTTATCTCAAGCACATCAGTCAAGAGCGATACTTGCGATGGGAAAAAGTTTCTATCGTATAAAGTTTTGAACTTCTTAAAATTTTATCTGACGAAAATACTCAATAATTCATGCTTTCGGGATATTTGAAATTTCATTAAATTAGCAAATTTTAAATAAACCATAAAGGAAAAATTTTAAGCCTTAGATAGATATGCATTAAAATTTATGTCTACAAACAAATGATTGCTTACTTATTTGAAGTTTACACTCATTTATTTAATCTTTAATGCTTCATTATTTCTCAAAGTATATGCTTTTTCAGCTCATACTTGAGCTAACTGTTAGCAGGATATGATTAAAAACTTAACAACAGATTCAAGAAATTTCGGTTAGCAATATGTGATGTAATGAGATAATGATGAAGACTATTTTCAGAGCTCATTATGCTCTCTATTTATCATTATATCATTTTTTCTAATTTTATATCTACTTATTCATCACATCTAGTTTGCTAATTCCAAACTTTGACTTATATTCAAAAATTCAAATGCAAAAATTTTAATAAATTTTATGTCATAAGTGCTAGCCTGAAACAAT